ACCTTGAGTTCTTCAGAAACTTTTTATAGCTACAAGATTTCTCAGCTATTTACCATCTTGGTTAGTTTCTTTAGTACACACCTTAGTCAGACAGTCATAAGTTTTGCATGTTGGATCTGAGGAGCTTCTGGTCCACAGTATATTTTGGGAGATATGCCAGGATTGTCAGAACTTTATTGGACCCTTTTTATATGTCACTTCATCGAGGCGACGTCTCTGTTCAGGCTATATTAGAACACGTGCTGTTCTGCAACGCACTGTGGGCTTTTGGGCGTCAGTGTGATGGTTCAGGCTGGACCCTCCACCTGAAGTGTGACCTCATCACTTGTACTTCTGACATTCTGCTCATTGTTCAAGGCTACATTCACTCCGAGCACCTACCTTCCAGCCTTCCCTGAAGCATCTTTCTCATGGCACCTACTTGTCCAAACTTCTACGCTAGCAGTTATTACATGGCTTTATAGCTCTTTAGGTTTATATTTGTGTGACTCCAGTAAATTCCTTCAAGACAAGTATTTTCATTCTTTTCTGAGTGCCTAAAATCAGTACGATTAGTTCCTGCTACTTGACGGTGCCCAAATAAATATTTGTTTAACGGGCAAATTAGTTGATAAATGTGTCTTATTACTGAGTATATGTTTAATCCAAAGTTCTAATAAAGCAAATTGTTCTTGGAAAACTGAATTAGCGCTTAGATTTGCAATACTGCATTTATGTGTGGATGTTGTCTGATACTTTGAGTTTTGTGATCTATTTAAAACTATGCCTAGAATTCAGACATCGAAAATAATTATCTGATATATCCATGTAATGAATATACATGTGTACCCCTTGAATCTAAAAGTTAAAGAAAAACAAAATAATTATCTGTGATGCTCTTTGGTTTTGGACACTGTTTTTATTTTGTTGACTGTTTCCTTATTTGTCTTGTTGAATTATCAGGAGAAAATACTATTTTATTAGGTCAAGTGGCTTGCTATACTTGTCATTTCAATGTAGCACCGCTTTCTGGAAAAACTAAGGGGATTCAGAAGTTAAAAATGTAATATAAAGGTCTTTTATCTTTTGTGGATTCTGAGGCAAATTAATTGAGAATCCTAGCTTTGATAACTTTATTCTTGAAACGTGTTGTAGCCCTGCCTGCCTCTTTGGAAGAGTTTACACATTAGTTATGATGCTCAGTAAAATGGTCATTAGGATGAAATATTTAGTAAACATAATATGATAATCTAGGAAGTAGTGATACCATCTCAGCCACTGGTTGTAAATTAGATGTGTTGGGGTTTTTTAAAACTTCATTTAATGTTAACTGATATATGGTACCTAGACAGTGTGCAAAATATTTCTTTTCATAAATAACGTACTGAGTGCCTACCATGTGCCAGAAATTCTGTTTGCAAAGAGCACTTGATTAAGGGTAATATTCCAATACACATAATGTGTTCACTGGACCGTTTCCGATGAACAGAAGCAGAAATGTGCTCTTTCTTGGGCGATCTCAATTAGTGAGGTTTACAACAAGGCTGCACGAGGAGTAGGAAGGGCAGGGAGGCAGTGAGCAACCACCGAGGCAGACCTTACGGAGAATTGGGCACTAGCTCTGGTCTCATGGGAGCCCTTATGTCATCTCACCAGAAGTCCACGTCTGTTCTCTTCTTCAGTGATCTGCACTGTGGTCGCTCAGCTCTTCTCTGTCTTTGCCTCATGAAGGTATCTCTTGTATCCCCGCTACAAGAGAAAAAAAATCTTACTTTGGCAAATCTCTATTCAACAATGAAGGGTCCCTGCTCTAAAGCTCATCCCAGCCACCTCTTAGGCAGCTTGCCAACTAGTGGATTCACGTTTCTGGCTTAGGAACTCATTCCTGACCCATAAATTGAGACCAGAGAGATGCGATCACATGGTATGGGGTAGTGCTCCTCAAACTTTGGTGTGCATATTGAATCACATCTTTGTTCAGGCTTGCAAAAGTGCACACTTTTGAATCAGTAGGTCTGGGGATTTGTGACTCCAACAAGCTTCCAAGTGAAGCTGATGTGAGTGGTCCTCTGACTGTACGTTGAGTAACAAGGATAGAGCAAGGTGACTTCTGTGTAAATATAATTCCTCAGAAGGCAGGCACTCCCTGTAGTAGATCTGTGGTATAAGATGGTGTTCCATGTGGAGGAATAGCTGTGATAAAGGAGTGGGGGAAGATGGAGTGTTGATATCAATATACGTGTAGATAAAGCCAATTCTGAGCATGATTAAGGTCAGAATGAAGAAGGTGTCGTCAGACCCACATATCAGCACTGAAGCAATTAAGATATGTAGTCTCTTAATACTAAAGTTGTTAGGGTTGGCTCTTAGTTATGATTTTAATACAAAGCAAATAGATGGTTATTTTGATGTTTTCAGTGAGAGAGTAAGTGATTGGGTATGAATTTAACTTATCCCTATTCTGTTCGCTTGAGAGCTTGCTACCTAACTCCAGTCACAGTTTGTCACTAAGTCTGTGCTGTTCATGAGGACCGGCGGTAGGATCTGCAGTAGGGCTTGGTTGTTTGTTATGAGCCAGAGTCCCTGTTTGGCATGGATACCACGTGTTAGATTCCTTATTCTAGAGAATCGCACATTTCTCATTGTCCCCATTAGTGATCTGCAGATTGACAGGCTCTCAGTCACAAAGATCTTCGGACCATTAAATGTCTGACATCCATAGAGTGAATCCCAGTTTCAGAGGACCTTTACATTCATTATTCTATTCCTCTCATAAATATAATCCAAGACTGATTAAAAACCAAAGAGAGCTTTTTAAAAAAAAATTCTTTAATGATGCCAGAGTCCAGTGATTTGGACTTAGGAATCATGCCTAAGAGAAGAGAACTGAATTAAGTACCCAGAACATTCTGACATGGTGACAGATGTGTAAGGAAAAGCAGTGTCTTTCTGAGGTTTTCCTGATTGATTACATTCAGAGGAAGGCCTCGCATGATATTTACATCCATTCATCGTTCGGTGACACAGGGCAGTAGACATTTTACAATGTTTTATTTTCTGAATCTCACTTACTTCAACTCATTTTCTTCTAAAGATGATTTATTTTAATGTTAATGTTCACAATGCCAAAAAACATTCACTTTGAATGACTAGACAGTAACATCCTGGTTTTTTTGTTTTTGTTGTTTTTTTAATCTAAGGAGTATCCCAATGTATGTAAGTAAAATCTTGAAAATAATTTTCCAAGTTTACCGTATAGTGGTTATCATGTAGAATTCTGACTTACTAAATAGTTTACATTTTAAGTTTCCAATTGTCAAAGAAGGAATTCCATTTAGTGTGAGGAAGTGTGGGGAAAAGTGTGCTGTGTTACCTTGCCGTGTTACCTTGGACAAGTTAGTTAATCGCTCTGAGTCTCTTAGACATCTGAAAACTTGTGGCGTTCATAGCCACTTTGCAGCATTAGTTTGAAGATAAAAATGTTAAACAGCACATGTAATGTATTCAATGCAGATACTACCATTTAACAGAATTTCACTAAATAAATAAATAAATATGCAAGTTTTTCAGTCTTCTGACAGCACTTTTTTTATATAAATTAAAAACAAAAGTACTTTGTCACTTCTATTTGCACAGGAAGACTATTATGTATTCTTGACATAAGTGAGAACTGCAGCACTTTGGATTATTAATGGAAGAGCTTGGATTGTAATTACTACTCAGTTAATCTATATAGTGGAATCTTGGTCATAAAAAAAAAGTGGTTTTCCATAAATTAAGTGGTGATACTGTTCCAATTTACTGAAAGGAATTCTAGCTAATCTTTAAAAATGTAGCCAGTAAGTTCACTCATGCTACAGTGACACGATGTATAGCAACAGAGAGCATAGTTGGATATAAATATCTTTCTTAGGGAGACATTTTATTAACTCATTTTAATCACACGGGGCTGTGCAAATCAGGTTATACCCATATTTTTTTAGAAACCTAGGACCAAGACTATATGAGAATGGGATATTCTACAGACCAAGACAATATGAGAATGGGATATTCTTCCTTTATTCAAAATAAAGGAAGTCTGGTAGAATACCTTTCCTGTCACGTAGAACACAAACTTTTATTGAACATGCACACATTATCATATATTCCTCCCCGTGGTGAAAATACGAAGGCCTCTTTCTGATGGTATCCTAGGGACAGGACACAGGACCACCATATTGATCTATTCCTTTTTTTTTTTTTTTGAGTTTGAGTCTCACTCTGTCGCCCAGATTGGAGTGCAGTGGCCGCTCCCGGCCACCACAGCCTCGACCTGCTGGGCTCTGGCGATCCTTCCGCCTCAGCCTTTCCAAGTAGCTGGAACTACAGGTGCACGCTACCACGCCCAGCTAATTTTTCGATTTATTGTGGAGATGAGGTCTCGCCAAATTGCCCAGGCGGGATCTATTTCTAATAATAGGATCATTTGCATTATTTTTATAATTAGCTTCCCTTAGATTGGTTGCAAACTAGGAGTATCTATTATTTTAGATGGTGTTTCATGGCAAATGCTAGCCTAGCAGTTTTTTTGCTAGTGTAGTTTTCATTTGACAAAGCATCTGTGGGGCTTTTTTTCTTTTTAAGTGAAGCAAGCCATTGTTAAGACAATAGAAATGACTGGGAAGTCGTTTCAAGGCAAAGGTGAGTTAAAGGGCAGCTGAGCATGTGGATTCGGGGCCTTTGAGCCTTCAGGTTTTACCTGTGCTTCAGTCTGAAAGGTTTTCCTAAAGCAGAATTGATTTCCAGAATGCCTCGGGTGTTTAATTCCGGCATAGTCTGCAGGCAGCCGGGTCCTCCTTGCTAAAGCAGTTCTCTCCTCCTTTAACAACAGAGTATTCATATCTTCCTGTGGTTTTGGCTTTATATGGGGGAGACATTTTAAACTACGGCCTGGTGGCTAATTTTCCCACGCAGCCTCATTCTGATCCTGTAGACACTTTGAGTGCAGCCAGTAGAGCTTACTATCCTTTTTCCTCACCCAGGTCCAGTGCCCCACTTGCCAATTCATCTGGTGTTTTAAGTGCCACTCTCCTTGGCACGAAGGTGTTAACTGCAAGGAATACAGGAAAGGAGACAAACTGTTGCGTCACTGGGCCAGCGAAATTGAGCATGGGCAGAGGAATGCCCAGAAGTGTCCGAAGTGCAAGGTGAGATCCACTTTAGCAGGAAAGGAAAAAGCGTGTATGCCTGAATACGAATAAACAACAGTTGCAATACGGAGTGAATTATATTTATAATTTAATGTCGGCATGGAGAAGAAAAGGCTGTTTCAGTAATATATAACTTAACTAGACATTTTGTACGTAAACAGTGTATGTTCTTATTTACATCACATTTCAAAATTTAAGGAGTCCACATATAAATAATGGTTTAAGACATTGAAATCCTTGTATTCTGTTTAAAAAATGAAGCTGTGGGGCAACCCCTTCAGGTCCTCTCCCGCTTTTCTGTCCTCTCAACGAATCCTGCTTTCTCAGATAAATAAAATTTAAAAATGAAGATGTATGTACAGGGAAACGCCAGTATAAAATAGCATCAAAGTTTTATTTCTAGCTCGCCACACGTATTGTAGTCACTTGTCAATTACGTAGGCTCGGAATCCTTGCAGTCTTCGCTTTTATTTCCTGTCTGCCATTGCTGATCACTTGAGGATTGCATTAAATTAAACTGACTGTTTTGCTTTTTGTAAATCTAGTGAGGTAGAAGTAATAGCTAAAATCAGGATTTAGGGATATTTTATGAATCTCATTTTTCATCTTTCTTTTGATAATCATGTGAGTAATCAAGCCTTAGCAGGCATTTGAACTGAGACCTGGATGTTAAAAGTCAGCCAAGCAAACGGGGAAGAGTCTCCCATAAACAGGTCAGAGTAAATACAGCCAAAAAAACTGGATTTGATGCTTGCACCATAGGAATCTCTTGAAGTTTGGAGATTTTTTTTTTTTTTTAAATCTTACTTTAGAAAATGATTTGTGTATGTATACATGCGTGTACACTCTACATGGTTTCTACCTTTTACCAAATTTGCTTTTAGAAATCATCTTGAAATTAAAACTAATGTTCTTTTAAGAACAATTCTGCTATTTCTTCCTGGAGACTTAGCACCAGATAAAGGAAATTTGAGTTGTCAGAAAATTTTTAAAATTTATTAATTGTGACTCCACTGTGAAATATCAAAAGCATATTGTGAAATCTATTAATGAGCATACTAATAATGTACAGATTCACTTTGCCAAATTCACATACTAGTATATACATAGTGTTAGGAAAAAGTGTTGCATAGCATAACATACTGTGTTCTTAGCATGTTGCATCTTAGCAATTGGAAGAAATTTTTGAAATAGTTTAGTACCTGGCTTTCTTAAAAAGGATATCTGAAGATGTTTAGGCTAAAGTTTTCTTTGTTTCCCCTGTAGAAGGCAGATTCATCCACAATCACCCGTTTTATTTTAAGACTATTTCAGATCACTCCTTCAATTGTTCAGTACACTTTGGTTTTTCATCTCATTGGAGAACAATGAGAAAATGAAGCCTTTCCAAAACCCTTTATCTTGCTTTTTCAGTTTATTCAAAGCTACTGCTCAGTGTCAAACCAGATACAGGCCAGTAGGAATTTAGCAGTGCTGGTAAATCATTCTACTTAACACTTTATTTAAGCAAAAACAATTACCAGCCTGATTTAAGACTGTACTTTGAATGAACAACGGCTGCAGCATTATACATTGAGAAAATTTGGCATGAACTGATGTAATACATGAAAGCATGCATTTATTGCTGTAATCCTGCCATCTAACATTAAATGGTCTCTGATATATAGAAAGAAAAAGCAGGCAACCAAGCAGTCACGTAAGGAATTTCCTGAATGTGTTAACAACTTAGTTTTAACAAATATAGATAAACAGTTAAGAGAAAGCATACAAGCTGGTTCTTCTTTGAAGTAATGGCTAAAAGATCAGGGCTTTAAAAGGGATTACCTGTTAAATAGCTTCAAGGAAAGGAGTTTCCATGATTACACTGTAGCAGAGAGCTTGCTTTCTGGTGAGACTCAAACTTTGTGAAGTTTATGTCTGTTTAAGTCATATTTTATGACTTGTTTTGAGTATAAATTGTTTCATTTTTCTTTTTAAGTATGACTTTAAAGCTTTGCATTTTCTTAAGTGTGACCTTTTTTGTGTGACCTTAAAACTATACTTTCCCCCATGAAATGTTTCTAATCTTATAATAGAAACTCATGAGGAAATATTACTCAGTGAATTAATGTTTGTTTTATATGCCAAGGCTATTTTTTAAATAAAAACTTCCTTTAAAATGTATAAATATAAAAAAGCACAGTGGAAGAGTTTGTGAAAAAGAAAAATTTTATACGTAATGCCAGGTGAAAAAAATGATTATATATTTTCATACAGATACTGGAAGCATGATCATCATATGTGTTTAAAATTGTTACCGAAGTATAATTATAGTTGTACCCAGCTATAGGTATGTGTTTTAAATTAGTTCATAATTTAAACAGTTATTTTAATCTTTAAATGATTTTGTTGTAGAAAGATCATATAACATGAGATAAAAATTTGGGAAGGAGTGGGAAAATATTCACCCAGAATCCTGCCACACTGTTAATATGTTAGTGTGTCTCCTTGGTCTTTCCCGTACTTAAGTGACTTTTTTAAAGTTTTAGTTATAGTATGTAAATAATTCGATATCATTAGTTTTTTCACTTAACATCACAAACGTGTCTCATGTGACTAAATATTTTTCAAAACTTTTTTTCATTAACTACGTATCATTTGCTTCAATACACAAGGCTTGCTTCAATACACAAGGCTTGCTTAGTTTGGGTCTGGAATTTTTTTTAATATCTGTTTATTATAAATAATGTGTTGATGATATTCATGTTGAATATATCTTTTTTCCCATATGTTTAACCTTTGAAAGCATATATTTCTAAAGGTAGAATGACTGGATTAAAGGGTATCAAAGTTTTTAGAATTTAAGACATCCTACCAATTTGCTTTCCTAGAAGGATTGAAGCAATTTATAATTCCACCAAAAAGAATTTGAGAACCAGTTTCAGTATGAGCATTCTTTAATTTAATAATTTTAAAATATTTTGTTCTTAGCTAGGCTCGGTGGCTCAGCCTGTACTCCCACGCCTTTGGGAGGCTGAGGTGAGTGGATTGCCTGAGCCCACAGGTTCGGGACCCGCCTGGGCAGACGAGACCTCATCTCTACAATAAATCAAAAAAATCAGCCGGGCGTGGTAGCGCATGCCTGTAATTCCGGCTACTTGGAAGGCTGAGATGGAAGGATCGCTGGAGCCCAGCAGGTCGAGGCTGGGGTGGCCGGGAGCGGCCACTGCACTCCAGTCTGGGCGACAGAGGGAGACTCCAACTCAAAAATAAAATAAAATATTTTATTCTTATATTTTGCATTTCCTTGTTTGCTTGTAAATTGAATATAAATTCATGTATTTTTGAGTTTGTTGTACCTCTTTTAAATTTTTTTGTTCAATATCCTTTAGTTATTTGTGTAGGTCACACTGGGGCATAATGTTGTTATCAAATTATATAAACTCTTTATTTGGAAATATTAACTCCTCTTCTAGCATATTTTCTAAACATGTTTTCCCTGTCTTTTGTTTCTCTCTGTTTATTTGAGTGGCAGACTTGTTTGTTTGTGTTGTTTTGGGGTTTTGTTTTTTACTTAATTGGCTTGCATATATATATTTTTTAAATTTTTTAATTTCTATTTGACCAAATATATCATTCTTTTCCTTTTTTGGACACATACAGAAACACATACATATGTACTCATACATCACCCAAACATGTTTTATATATTTGCATAACTTTATGTATTATTTTAAAATCTTTTATAATTGTTTTCTTTCAAAGCTAAAAGTGTTATGCGTCATCCAGAAGTTTGATTTTAAAAGTTTATTTTCGAGGGGCTACACCGTATCAACAAGGGTACCTGCATAATGAACATGTGTATACCTAACACTGAATTGTACCCCACATCTTTTAAATAAATTAATTAATTAAATTAAATAAAAAATTTATTTCCTTCCTTTCTTTTAGCTATTTGATTTTTAAATATTTTAATTCTTATGTATTATTTTTATATTGTGTATTATTATACATTGTTATTAAATTTATTCTATTTTATTTTAATTATAGAATAACACCCATAATTTATTTTGGTGTTATGCATTGAGTACCTAAACTAATTTTTTTTGCAAATTGAAACCCTCTAACTCAATTCTGTTTATGAAATAATTTTCTTCTTACCAACTGATTTGTAATTTCTCTCTGGACATATGTTTAATTATAATGCATGTCCGTCTCTTTTCTGAGCTCTCAAATCTTGCTGCTGATTTTTTTTAAAAGTTCTGTTTGTGCTTACATTGGTGAGTTTTAAATGATTAGGCCGTTGTAAAATTTGCTTATCTAAGCAAGTTTTGATAATGCATTAGTTCATTATTTTAACTAGTATTCTAAATAAAATTAATTTTTCTCTTATTTTCTTATAAAGGTTACTTCTTCTTTAATGAGATTTTACCTTTTTCTCAAATGAAAAGACCAATTCAGTACATGAGATGTATTAGTATAATACATGGTATATTATTATGGTATGCTATACTATTTAATGTATATATACTATCAAATGTATAATACATATTTTTGATTTCTAAGCAGTCAGTACTACATACAATCATAATTCAGTTATTTATGAGTGAATTTCAGCAAATAATAAGGATGAGCATTAGAAGTTTTTTCCCTTATTTATGATCAACATACTTATTCATAAGTGTGACCTTTTTATACTAAGATAGAAATATACACACATTTACTGGGACTTATCTATTTATAGAACATTTTTAATGAAAATTTAATAGCACCATGTTAACATCAACTTAGCCATTTTTATTTGGATCTCATTGCCTCATAATGCAGAGTATTATTTAGTCATGTATAAAACACCATTTTTTTATCTTAACGATTAGTTTTCTACTTTGTATAAATTCTAACCTGCAGAAAAATATGTGCTAATTTTAAAATGTCTTTCTTGAACTTAGTTACCACAATACTAAATCTAATTTGTAATAATTTTAAGATTAAATTAAATATAAAGCAGGCAGATGTTC